TCAGGCGTAAAACCCTGTTGTAGAGGTTTCAGTTCTCATTGTTAGACTTACCTGTCTTTATAAATGTAACTTACTCTCTCTCTCTCTCGCCCCTTACCCTCTCTCCTCTCTCTCTCTCTCCCTCTCCCTCTCTCCTATCTCTATCTCTCTCTCTCTCTCTCTCTCTCTCTCTCTCTCTCTCTCTCTCTCTCCCTCTCTCTCTCTTCCTCTCTCTCCCTCTCTCTCTCCCTCTCTCTCCTCTCTCTCTCTCTCTCTGTCTCTCTCTCTCTCTCTCTCTCTCTCTCTCTCTCTCTCTCTCTCTCTCTCTCTCTCTCTCTCTCTCTCTCTCTCTCTCTCTCTCTCTCGCGCGCTCGCTCACTCTCTCTTTCTCTCTCTGTCCTTATCTTCAGGTGATGGTAATCCTGGAGTTGATGTCGGGTGGGATTCTTCGCAGCTACCTCCATCAGCTCATGCCCAGGTAAAAGTCCGGTAAAACAGTGCGCACACTCGACTGTGTCCATTAGATGGAGTGGGCTGGGGTGGTGCATGGGGGAGGGGGTTGGGTCAGGTTGGGGCTGTGTGGGGGGGGGCGGGGTGCGTGTGTTGTGGTGTGGGGGGGGGGGGGGGGGGAGAGGGCATGTGTTTGTGTGGGAGGGGGGGGGGGAGGGTGTGCGTGTACGAATGTGTGTTCTACTCACAGTGTTTTTATGTTTGATGTTGGCTGTGTTTTGCAGCAAAAGCCCCGGAATAATGATTGTGACATGTTCTCTTTTGTGTGTGCGGGTGTGCGTGCATCTGTGTTTGTATTTGTGTGGCAATATATGCCTGGGTGCTTGCTGTGTTCACTGTTGTGCGTGTGTGTGTGTGTCCGTGTTCGTGCGTGGCTATACGCGTGGTATGCGTTCTATGCTGTGTTTTAGATCGGGTGTGACGTTGGAGTCTTCAGTGCCTGGGCATCTGTTGCAGATGTCCATTGAAATAGCCAGAGGCATGTCCTACCTTGCCAAGCGCCAGTTCATACACAGAGTGAGTACCTAGAGTCAGTCATGATGTTAGGACAGTATCAATGATGTGTAACAGTGAGTTATGACAGTAGCAATGATGTGTAACAGTGAGTTATGACAGTATCACTGATGTGTAACAGTGAGTTATGACAGTATCAATGATGTGTAACAGTGAGTTATGACGGTATCACTGATGTAATGCTGTGTAAGTCTACAAATATTCAGCCCATTCACATGTCGGCTCCCCAGGGCTAGACTCCTTGTCGGCCGCGTCAAAGTTTCGGCCTGTACTGCTGCCTGTATACCATGGTATACACTGTCACACTGAACCTTGCAAAACAAATTTTCGGCCAAACATGACCAGGCCGAAAATAGTCGAAAATAAATATGCGCAGAATATTTGTTGACTTACGGTACTGAGTTATGACAGTATCACCGATGAAGCAGTCATGACGGTAACACTGATGTACTAGTCAGTAATGACCTTGTCAATGATTTGATGGTTCCAGCCTGTACAGTGGTGTTCTACTACACACTCTGTACATTCCTGGATGCAAGTTTAACGAATATACATAGCTTCAAGAACTTTTTCAATTGCTTTAAATTATTCGCAAGACGTACAACACTAAACCATGAATCATGTTGGTCATATGAGTGCGCATTTGATATTATTAATCACTAATTCCTGTATTTGTGGGACAAAGGTTCATGCGCCAATGTGCTGTGGATCGAACTTGCTTTCCCGGATCAAGCAGAATCCTGTCATATCAGCACAGTTTCCGCTGCACCAAGGGCGTCCGGTTAGGACAGGTTTTACGGCATTAATTTCTTACACACAGAGTTCATGTTCTGGATGTGTCGCCATTGTGTCTGCTGCAGGATTTAGCTGCTCGTAACATTCTCCTGGACAGTTCACATGTGTGCAAGGTTAGTGCTACAAAGGGAACATTTGTCAGAAGATTTGAAAATGTGTTCATAGCAGTAACTATGACTGACATGGTATTTTTTTTCGATGTGTTGCCAATATCGCCCCCCCCCCCCCATACCCCGTTACCGGTCTGAGTAGCTGAGCGAAGGGATTTTTGCCTGCTTTCCCCTCCTCAACCATCGCTGTGTGGTATGTCCTATGCCTGGCGTATATCATTCAGTTCTGGATGTATCCATGCTTGTATTGTCTGTTGTTTAGTGTGTGTGTGTGTGTGTGTGTGTGTGTGTGTGTGTGTGTGTGTGTGTGTGTGTGCGTGTGTGTGTGTGTGTATCTTTCTTGCCTCCCTCTCTGTGTCCATCTATCTCATTCTGTGTGTCTCTGTCTCTCTGTCTTTCTTCCTCCAGATTGGCGATTTTGGAATGTCACGCAATCTAGCAGATGATACCTACTATGAATCACATGGTGGCAAGATCCCGTACAAGTGGACTGCACCTGAGGTAAATGCACGCATCGATCAGAGAACCATAGGACCTACATGTATGATTGGTTGAGCTTTGTTGGTCCCACTCACTCTATCCCACTGGATCTGTGCTATTGTGGTGAGACTCCGCATCACAGTACAGGTCCTCCCTCATTATAACGAGTCCGGTTACAACGTAAACCCCGTTAGTAAATAGAAATCAGAAATCCTCTGGCAAAACGTGGTCTATTCATCTGTTTACAGGTCCGGTTACAACATAATCCGTTAGTACATAAAATTCGTTATAACGACCCTTTGCCCAGGTCCCTGGAGTGCCAAACCCTCAGTATAAGATAATATTGACCATGCAGGACCAAGGCCAAAACACGTAGGATAAAGCAGAAAGAGGAAACGTATTATGTCTATGTATTCGTGAATATGGACGATCCTTTGCCTCCAAGGAAGAGTTATGTTGGAGTAACTTGAAGATTTTCAATTATCTTATAACGAGTTGAAGCATCGATAATTTATGTTGTATCGAGGGTAGCCCCGGTAAGTACGAAGTAGTGCCTATTTCACCTTTAGCTGCAAGTCCTGCTACAAGATAAGTCTCGTTATAAGATAACTTTTTCGATGGCCCAGAGATTATCTACTAACGAGGGAGGACCTGTACAGTGAGACCTCGCTTAACCACACACGTCCGTTTTCCACAAAAATATATCCGGATAGGCGAGGGAACCGGATAATCGAACACACATATTGTATGTATGCATGACTTTATGCTGTAGATCGGTAACCAACGATTTTCATCCGGATGGTGAGGGATCCGGATAAAAAAGGACCGGATAAGCGAGGTCTGACTGGACAGTTGTGCTGTATGATGATCGACCAGCACATGGATAATCCAGTTACAGCCAGAGAGCCTGCTGTACCCTGTATTCGTGTGTACTGCTCTGCACTTTCCTACATCGAGCACGTTTTCGAGCTGCCCAAGCGACTGGCCCTGCTTATGAAGGTGCAGCGGTGAAATGCTGGTGTAAAGTGAAATCCAACTCCTTAGTTAAAGCAAATGCATATCCACTGCACAGCCTAGTGTTGGTAATATCAGGGCTCCGCAGTTCCCAGAGCTGTTGAATTTGTGATGTTGGATTTCACTTCCCAGTACAGTACTGAAGGTCATCATGCAGGGGTTGGATTTTAGTGCAGTGCTGCTCAACAAAATCCAATCATGCTTGAAGTGCGAGTGAATGGCACGCTGGGCAGCAGCGCTGTGCAGCCGCAGACCTGTCAACGCTGGGCTGTGAAATGGTGAAAGGTGCAAACTTGAAGCACTCCTTCAAATTCATTCAGCAGCACTGAGCAGAATTGTAGCAAAAAAAGATTAAAGTTTGCACATTCGTGTTACCACTATGCAATTGTGTTGAGAAACACAACCAGCTTAGGAATTTGACTTGTGCCAGGCCATCACCATGCCTGATCACTGTACTACCGTATTTCCCCGATTATAAGTCGCACTCGATTATAAGGCGCTCCTCCATTTTCAGGTTTGAGCGATCATGTTTTGAAATATTCACTGCCGTAGTAAGTCTTGTTCGATTGTAAGTCGCACCCCCTTTTTAACCTTTGGCTTTTAGTCTAAAAAGGTGGGACTTATATCCAGGGAAATACAGTAGATATGTTGACAAATAAAAAAAAGGTTATACCTGATCGTAACGTTAAAATGGTACCAGACTCTCTGAGACATTAAAGATGTACAGGTTCCTGCACGAGTACAAGGCCAGTACCGCGGAATCCAGCCCGCGCCGCGATAGCGGCAAGGGCTGGATGAACAGCGGTACTGGCCGAGTATGAGTGACTGGAACGTGTTTCCCGTGTGCAAGTTCGTGAGCCAATGAGCGCAGTGGATTCCGTTCCTGCCCGTCGTCAAGTGACGACGTGCAGTGGAATCCGTTCCTGCCCGTCGTCACTTGGTGACAGGCAGTGGATCCAGTTCCATCACCTTTCAGCAGGCAGGACCACACTTTCCAGCCCACGCAATTTGATCTGTCATAGGTCGACTCCAAGGCGACAATCACGTGATATACGAGAAAGTGATAATTTGACAACTGCTCAGGTGCACTGGTATGACCTAGAGCACATATAGCCTGTCTGTATTTTGTGCAAGTTAGTCGGTTATTTCCAGTCACTCTAATCTTCCATTGCCGGTTCTTTGCGGCATGGTGAACCTTGCATCATGCAGTCAAGCGTCCGATTATAATGCTGAATGCATGTGCATGTGTCCGTCTTGTGGAATAAAGCCGTCTTATTCATGTTGCCCGTGTTGTGTTGATCATGTGCTGGGCCTGTGCATCTGCAGGCTATGCTATATCGCAAGTACTCACTGTCAAGTGATGTTTGGAGCTATGGCATAGTGCTCTACGAGATCTTCACACTGGGCAAGAAGCCATACTTTGGCATGCAGCCACAGCAGGTCAGTACTTGCTACTTGCAGTCATTAGGTCGGTGCATGGTGTCTGTGCTTGCGCTCTGTGGGTTTTGTCCAAGTCGTTGACAAGCATAACTTGCAACACAGGTCATATCTAGCCATTCCACTTATGACACGTGAAACTTTTGTGTGTCATTTCCTTTCTCTCCATCTCTCACACCCTCCGGTCTCTTTCCTTCTCTCTCTCTCTCTCTCTCTCTCTCTCAAACACACACACACACACACGCATGCCCATTTACCTGGATGATGCTTGCACGCAGGTGATATCGTTTGTGTCTGAAGAGCGCAGACGACTGCCCCCGCCACCTGGTGTGAATGCAGAACTATACAAAGTCATGCTGGACTGTTGGTAAGCTAGTCATCAATTATACTTTGTGTGTCATTTCACAGTGCCCGTCAAGTAACATTACTTATGTGTGCGACATGTGATTTTTTTGAACCTAGGAAGATGACACGGCTGCGTGGGAATTTTTTTTAAGAATGTGGGTTTCACTCCCCTGTTGCTCATTATAATTATACACCCTTCGGTCAGGGAAGAATCATAGCCCCTTTAGGGCAGGACTGAACAACAACTTAGGGGCAGGGCTGAATAATACCCTAGGGGCAGGGTGAACCATACCCTTGGGGCAGGGTGAACCATACCCTTGGGGCAGGGCGAACCATACCCTTGGGGCAGGACAGAAGCATTGACCCGCTGGGACAGGGCTGAACCATACACCTGGGCAGGGCTGAATGGTACACCTGGGGCACAACTTAACACTACCCTTGGGGCAAGACTTGACAATACCCTTGGGGCAGGGCTGAACAGTACACCTGGGGCAGAATTGAACCATACGCTTGGGGCAGGGTTGAACCGTACTCTTGGGGTAGGGTTGAATCATACCCTTTGCGGTAGGGCGAACCATACCCTTGGGTTGGGCCAAATCATACCTACTTGTGTGTAGCATCACTGCTCTGCACCATCTTACCAGTCAGCAGACCGTAAGACCGTTGGACTAGAATGATCCTAGGGTAATCCTGAGTTCGGTATTCCACTGTTGATGTGGCTACTGCTTTGTCCAGGTTGGTTGCACGACAATACTTCACAGTCTACAATCACGGTAGTAGACTGTGCAATTCCCCCCCCCCCCCCCCCTTAGGCCGCGGTCACACATGAAAAGCTTGCACCGCTTTTGCGGAGGCGGAAAGCGGAACTACCGCAGCCGCTTTGGCGGAACACACGATGCAGCGGTCACACATACATGTAGACCATGTTTTGCTCCTCAACGCTCCGCTTTGGCGGAGAGAATGCAAATGCAGCACGTCCTATGATTCGTATGAAATTTTAGATGTTCTTGTCCGAGTTGAAGCGACCTTCGCTTGTACAAGTAGAGCTATCGTGGATCGCTGACAGGCTGCCTTATGTCTTCTGTCAAGTACACTCCTGGATTTGGGGCGCATTCACTGCGGCCCAGTACAGGTGTATTTGAATATTGCTAGTTTGGTTTACATCAATATCAAATTCAAATAGTTGTATAGCAGGGTGTCGTTGCCTCCTTCTTGTCCGAGTTGAAGCGACCTTCGCTTGTACAAGTAGAGCTATCGTGGATCGCTGACAGGCTGCTGAATGTCTCATGTCAAGTACACTCGTGGATTCAGGGCACATTCACTGCGGCCCAGCACGGGTGTATTTGAATATTAGTTTAGTTTACATCAATATGAAATTCAAATAGTTTTATAGCAGGGTGTCGTTGCCTCCTCCATGATCCATCATCGACCCAGCGACTGCGTGGATGCCTGCAGCTGCAGTGAGGGTGTGGCAGAGTACTCTACTACTCCCTGGTTGCAGTCCTAGTGTTGCATACTCTGGTGGACGTATTGCTTGGAGAGAGAAGGAGAGAGTTGGAGATCGTCCGCGATCGGGGCCAATGACTCGTTGGGAGACGGATTCGGAGTTATTCCCTCACCAACTATCCACTCATAACGATGCAGTATTGCTTGCGAGATCTCCAGAACGTACAGTTCATTGGCAAAGAAGAACAATATGAAAACTGAATACCAAACGGCAACCAAACAACACCAGAACTCAGTGCAGAAGTAGCACCACAAACTCCAAAGCCATCACCATGCAGGTTCCGCCAAAGCGGATCCGCGAAAGCGGATCCGCGAAAGCGGAGGGTCCGCTCGCATTTTTTTGGCGTAGCGAAATCCAAACTTTCCGCCAAAGCGTAACTTACGCCTCCGCCGTTGCCGAGGCAACGGCGGAAGCGTAAGTTACGCTTTGGCGGAACCGCCAAAAAAAGTGCATGTGTGACCGGGGCCTTACACAGTCAGCCGTCTAACCCTCCATCAGAAACCTGCTACTTGTATGAAGTGCCAGAGTGAAAATCTTCCCACAATGCGTCTGGTTGGCTGTCCCATGTGCAAAGGCGAGCCACCTATCGCAAGTCTATGATTTCACGTTAACGTATGTGACATGTCGTGAGAGTGAACTTAGCAATATACCCTTCATTTCCTGCCATCCCTCAGGCACCCGGACCATCGACTGCGACCACGATTTGATCAGCTGACACACCGCCTCTCGCGGAAGTCACCATTCCTAGCTGCCCAGCAGCGGACTGCTGGCATACCCGAGCAAGCATACACAGTCGGGAGTCCGCTGCAGGCATCACAGAATATGCACAGAGACCTGCAGATGAGGTTCTGCCAGTGACGAGGAGTCCACAGACCAGTGCTGGCTCACTCACAGCGCTGACATGATTCCTCCCCTGTGGACTGTCACCAACCGAGCCAACTACTCCGTTCTCAAGCTCTCGGCCACTGGTGGCTTTGAGTTAGTGTGGCGTACTGGAGCGTCCACCCTCCTTGATCAGAGATCGAGCACACTAACTAACCGAGATATACATGCCTGTGCTCAGCCTTCACCGTTGCCACCTATGCTGGCAGCTTTTGCGTGATACAAAGACTCTATAATACTACCAAAGTACGAATCGTACTGTGTTGTTCCGACAGTAGTTCATGACGACTGTGTTGAGACGTTTTTTGAGACCCCACTCTGCTCTGTCTACTTGATGCAGCGAATGCTATTTTTTGAAATTATAGTTAGCAATATTCACTGGTTGAGGGACTGGATATAGTTAGCAGTAAAAAATTTCAGATAGCACACGTTGAGCCCCTATGATTGGACATGTGATATTTGCTTATACTTGCAGTTACTTTTTATGTTGAAACAGGAAGATTTTTTAAATTAATAATTTGTGAAACCCTTTCCTAACAAATCATTAATGCATTGCTGAAATCGCTACCACTACAAATTATAATTCAAATCCCTTTTGCATGTATAATGACTACTGCTTTGAAAGCTTGCATACCATTGTATACCTGAGGGCAATTTTGCCGAAATGTTGTCATGACTGATTGATAAACGAGTTCGATATTGTTTATTAACTGGTGGTGTTAGTGGACATTATAGCGTAACTTGTAGTTCCTTGGTCCTTTTTCTATTCTTTGAGTTCGATATTGTTATGGGAAAGAGCGGGTCAGCTCTAAGAACTACTTCCTATGAAACCAACTACTTTACTTCAAAGTGGTTTAAAAAAACAGAATGACGCTGTGTCCGAATAGAGAATGCACACATCCACAGTTAGATGACAGCTGACATGCTCGTAGTAGACTACCATGTTCCTTATGTCCAGCACTGCTTAGGACTAGTGACTAGTGGTTGATTATTTTTGGAGTGGGCTTTGGTGTGTGTTGGGGTAAGGGTGAGGGTACGACGCTCGCGCAGCGTGCATGCACATGTGTGTATACACGAACTTGCTTGTGTGTGCGCACGCACACACACACACACACACGCGTAATGATGATATGTACAGTTGCACTTGGTGAAACTCTAGCAAAATTCCACATTTGGCGCCGTCAACTTGCACGGACCTCAACGCCCTGGAAGTCGTACGAACGAGCCTGGACGTACAGATGCGCATATTGATGTAATCGGAACTGGTCCAGGGCATCAGTTTCGCACTGTAGGTCGGATTTCAGTGAGTGCAACTGTACTTGCAGTATATAACATGCACGCGTATATAATAATTATACCGGCATCCCACCGGCCCCTTCCAAAATTCCAAACACACATGCACTCATGCACGCATGTACACACGTACACACACACTTGCTCACACACACACGTGCACGCGCGCGCGCACACACATACATACACCATCCCTATAACGAAACTACCGGTATGCATACGCTTGCACGCATTCGCAGACACACAGCTTGGCAAGACCACGCCGGAGCTTCATAAAACCACACCTTGAGAACATTCGAAACACATTCGAAACAATTCGTAAACTTATGCAGTCAATAATTTTGGCTAAAAATAACTAACAAAGTAGACATTGGAAAGTAGTTCATGGTTGAGTGCCACGGAGCAGATTACAACTGCTCGCTTTGGGCCTTAGTGAAAACTGTAGTACTGAACTCATATAGACAGCTTTCAAACACATACTCACACAAGCGACTACAACACACAGGCAGTCTTTGTCCGCATCAAGAGAGTGTGCACGACTCCAGCGTTAAACACACACACACACACACAATACATACTAAAGAAGACTAGTAAAATGAAAATACTGAGTACTACATGAGATGTGAGGTACCAGAAGAGACTCTGGAGGGAGAGAGAGAGAGAGAGAGAGAGAGAGAGAGAGAGAGAGAGAGAGAGAGAGAGAGAGAGAGAGAGAGAGAGAGAGAGAGAGAGAGAGAGAGAGAGAGAGAGAAGAGAGAGAGAGAGAGAGAGAGAGAGAGAGAGAGAGAGAGAGAGAGAGAGAGAGAGAGAGAGAGAGAGAGAGAGAGAGAGAGAGAGAGAGAGAGAGAGAAGAGAGAGAGGAGAGAGAGAGAGAGGGAGGAGAGAGAGAGACAGAGAGAGACAGAGAGAGAGAGGGAGGGAGAGAGAGAGAGAGAGAGAGAGAGAGAGAGAGAGAGAGAGAGAGAGAGAGAGAGAGAGAGAGAGAGAGAGAGAGAGAGAGAGAGAGAGAGAGAGAGAGAGAGAGAGAGAGAGAGAGAGAGAGAGAGAGAGAGAGAGAGAGAGAGAGAGAGAGAGAGAGAGAGAGAGAGAGAGAGAGACAGAGACAGAGAGACAGAGAGAGACAGAGACAGATGGATGGATGCTAAAACAAAAGAGAATGATTGCGCTAGGCTGTTCGTCAGCCTGGCTGCACGGATCACTACAACGGTAAAAAAGAAAAGGGAGCGTTGCACCTTTCTAAAATATATAAACTCGCACTGCACAAAGGCAACGAAGAGACAACTGAGCACGTATGAGCACTCACAACTCCAGCAGCATCCTCACTAGCGAGGATCTCGGCGAATAAACACTATTACCTGGATAACGGCCGGTAAAAATTTAATCCTTTTAAAAACAACGTATCAAAAATAGGGCAGGTCAGGTCAGTTAGAGTATGGCGGCCTGACTGAATGGCAAATTGCCAAGCACACACCGTGGTTGAACACACAACCGATGGTCTGCTACATCTCACTGAACGGTGGAGGAATCAACTAAAGGCTGACGATGGGTATTTGTGAATGGGTGATAGTGTAACGTGTCGGGGGTTATGGCGACAACGGCAGGGTCAGGAGTGGTGAAGCTGGCACAACCGTGCATCAACGACTCAGTGCATATAGTGTACGGGCAGAGAATAGCGGTGTATGTCCACTGCACATAGCAGGAAGGACTGCATAGTGCTGACAATGCAGCATTACCGGAGAATAGCACTGTATGCACGGTAGGCACGGTGGGTGTGGACTGTGGTGAGACAACGATACGTTGTTACCTTCTAGTAATGCTAGCATACTTGAAGGTCAACGCTGGATCTTCCCGACGCCAATATTGTGTCAGAGTGGAAGAGTGGAAGAAAAGGGACAGGGTTGTTACGAATGTTTATCAACGGAGCAGACACACACACACACACACACACACACACACACACACACACACACACACACACACACACAGGCACACTTACAACAAGTGGCTCTGATTGCCAGCCTCCCTGGCCCACGCTAGCGCTCGGCTGGTTACGAGACATCCGGCCACGAATCGCAGGTTAGCATGTTGGGTATGAGGATGTCCAGCCAGGTCTCCATCTTGTCGGCACAGTTCTGACGAGAGTAGAACTCGATGCTGTACAGGCACATCAGGAGGCCATTGCCGAAGAACAGCATCACCCACATGAAGATGTTCCAGATTCGCGACTGCCGCTGATGCGTCAGGAAGACAAACGACACGCCGATGCCGCCAAACATGAGGAGGAGGACGGGAAAGAAGAATCCAAACGTGGCAGCGATGATGTACTCGTGGACAAAGGCGCTGACAATGAAGACGGTGAACATGGCCACCAGGCGATTCTTCTTGTACGCCTCGGGCACGCACATCTGCACGTCGTTATAGACGTACGCATGCAGCCAGTCGTGCACAACGACATTCCACTTACGATAGTAGTCGGCCCAGCTGCGGCAGTTCCACCAGTCCTTGTAGAACATGCGGTCGGCAAATCCCATCATCTCAGCAAAAGCGTTCAGCCACGAGTGCAGGATGGAGAAGAAGCCCAGCACGAACACCATGGTGGACGGTAGCATGCAGTTCATCACGCCCAGGATGAACGTGCGCGTGTTCCACGGCTGACGGCCCGTCTCGCTGAACACCGGCACGCAGAAGCGCACAAAGATGTAGTAGACGTACAACAGGCACCCGGCCACCTGCCCCATATTGGAGATGACGTAGGTCCAGCGTGTATGCTCGGTGCGCGGGTAGTTATCACGGTACAGCAGCGTAGGGCAGAACAGGAAGTACAAGTACTGAGAGAAGCCCGGCAGAACGTCGTGGACGTTGGCGTTGGCCTTGCTCTCCCGCGAGAACATCAGCACGCGCGGTACGGTCTCGCGGATAAACGAGTGAATCTTCATGATCATACGCACCTGCTCACACAGGATGATCAGAGCCGAGCCGGGCGGGATTTGATTACGGGCAATGATGAACACCGGGCCGACCAAGAACACGCCGAGAAAGAATATATAGCCCGACAGATACGCACCGTCAACTAGCCTGCGGTTGGTGCCCCGAGCGGAACCTCTGATGTCCACATAGCCCAAGAAGAGAGGATAGACGGCCAACGTTGTTGATTTCATCACAATCCAAGTGGTGATGACGATTGGCATCTGCTCGAACGCCCACAGTAGCATGGAGAAGTTCAGCACTAATCGGCCGTGCTCTAAGTAATCACTGATCACCGTATTCACTGCGAAAATTATCAGAATTGCCACAAAAATATTGTAGAGTGTTTGGATGTGAGTTGACTGCAGCAGATACGTTAACACCGAATCACGAGCGCGAAACACCTTCTGTCCATGTGCACGATCATTGTCGACGGAGGTCAGTCCCTTCATGGTGCGAGATACTTCATTCAACATGTCCTTGGTGACATCCTTTAGTTCCTCATTGACTGTGTCCACAGTATGTTTACGAAACTGCTGAAGACGAAACTCCAAGCTACTAAGGTCCACCTCTGGGCTCTCGCTCGAACCGATGCTCCCATCAGAGCGGGATGACGGTACTCCTCCATTGACGCTCTCTGAGGTGGCAGACATTCTAAAAACCAGAGAACAGCATTCGGCCTGGATGAACAAGACTGATTTTTGAATTATTGTTGGAGAAAGAAGATTCAAGAAACAGCTACAAAAATGTTCGTCTCTCGTGCCGTTTATACCACTGCCGCTTCCGCGTGTCCCGTACAGATATCGCGTGAGCTTGCTCAAGTGCATGCGTAGATCTACCGTACCGGAACGTGGAGCTCATGCAGATCCGATTCATGAGCAGATCTACGGTAATACGGTAGGTAGAGTAGGTACGGCATACTAGTAGTAGTATTACTACGAGTACGAGTAGATCTACGACTCGATCGTATCGTTGATCTACCCGGACCCACGCAACCTACGATGACGTCGATGTCAAGTATACGGTTACGGTAGGTCTGCACTCGAGTACTCTGCATGTACATGACAGTCATGTACATAGACCATGTAGACCATGGTAGACAGGATTTGACAAGACTGACATTCTACTTTCTAGGTTTTTCTACCGATCTGAGTCAACGACGTCATGGTAATGTCGTTCCTTGAGCCTGATCACTGTGATCAGCTGATTGAGGTAGACCATGTAATGGTAGACGCATTCAGCTTATGCGCCCGATCGAGCGGAAGTGCACTGCCCCTCTTGAAATCATTCAAAAGGAAGCTTCTTCGACGCCAATGACAGGAAGATAACAATTTCCCAGGGCACGATATGACGGGGGGGGGGGGGGGGGGGGTAAATAGCAGAAACTCACCAACAATATGCTAGACGGCAAAAGTCCAGAGCTGCTCCACACGTACTACTGTGGATGACTTTTTAGACTCCCTCTAAGAACTATTTCCATCTTGAAGCTCCCCCCCCCCTCCCCCCCCTCTCCCCCCCCACTCCCCCCCCCCCCAAGTAATGCATCATGTTCACAACCATAATAATTATGAACTACCTTTGAATTTCTCTCTCTTCTTCTTCAGTGTTCCCTCTCCCCCCCCCCCCCCCCCTCTCTCTCTCTCTCTCTCTCTCTCTCTCTCTCTCTCTCTCTCTCTCTCTCTCCTTCATTCTACCTCACCTTCTCTTATCTTTTATCGCACTAAATCACCAACTTCGTACTATAGTGCGCAAGTCCACGTTAACGCTGAGACCATAGGTCGGTTGTGGGCTTGCCTCACCAGCACAGACGTGCTTTGCAGCCCCATACTCTCCGGCTTGCTGCCAGTTTTGTTATTGTATACTAAGTATTCTGTTGTCTTCTCCCCTTCTGACGAGTAGGTTATGTATTTTATAATTTTAATGTGCTTAAATTAAAAGCACATTCTTTGGCGTGTGGCCTTGGATTGTTGGAAGCTTCCATGACAAACAAACAGGCGTGCTCGTCACGTGGGGAAGATGGTTGCGAAATCAATGGCTAATTTACGGTATTGGTCATTGTACTTCGAAGTATTAAACGAGTGTGTTGTTTCTTCACCAGATCAGAAGATACATGACACAGTAATGTAATTTATGCACCATTATCCAGAGGCACAGTGTTTCCAAACACACTGAGTCTGCTCTGCGCCCTGACCTGAAGTGGCCTCTTACAGTTGCTGCAGGAGCTAGAGGGCACTTGTGACTAAAGAGAGCCCCCCCCCCCCCCCCCCCCACACACACACTCACCCGGCGTGCCACTAGCCGTGGTTGGCGATAATAAAAACCCTGCAATCACCACGCAGAGTTTAATTAAGTGGTCATTGGCTACCCCAGCTTGGAATAAAACTAAAACTAAACTAACTGATGTACATGCACATGACATTGTACATAAAGCACAAAATCTAATTGTCATGTGCAGTACTGCACTACAGTATGGCATTGTGTCACACAGTGTGCGGATCGGAGCGAGCAGCAGATTGTCGCTACCTTGGTAACTTACTTGTTGGTAGTCTACTAGGCACTAATAATACTATAATGGTTCTGGTCAGGCTACATCTGCCCTTGTTTTTCGGATGCCATTTTATGCTCCTTCTCAAAAAGGACCTGATTATGCCAAAAATTATGCCAGCATAATCCGCTTACCCCTAGTGCCTACAAGTAGTAGTGGGTAGCAAAAGTGCCAGTATATAGTGCTATCCTTAGCCCTCGGCGGACAACGCCCGCAGATTTTAGTATGTACATGTACATGTATGTCGTGTGAGTGCTCTCGTGCATCGAAGAACATTGTCCAGCTGGTGGGTACTACGCTGAGAAATAAATTGTATTTGTTTTGATAGGAAAGGCCCTACAGACGTTGCCGTCTTGTTACAGGGAACCCTAACGTTTAAACTGCTCTTTACACTACAAAGCGAAACAACAGCAGATAGTTGGGCAACCTGACGACACGAGGCAAGCTGGAGAAAGGAATGCTATGGAATTGCCTACCGCCTTCTCTTACCTCTATAACCAGCCTCCCCGAATCCAAGCATTCTCTCTATCAGCATTTTCGCCGATATATTCATTACACTGACTTTATCCCAACTCCTTAATTACCAGATTTTGTATGCCTCGATCTATTTCCTTAGCCTATCCTCGATTAACTGCTCCCTCCACATAAAGTTGTCATTTCATTCTTCTTGCAGGAGATCCCCTCGACAGGCCCAAAGCCTTTGGGAAATCCTTTTAAAAATATAATAAAATACAAAAAATACAAATAGACTTTATTCTTGTTTAGACTTAAGTCCACACCATGGGCCATGGAGGTACATATACCAGGCCAGGGAAACTCCCTGGACAATCCACCGTTGGCCATGGCATTGGTCCACATCAGGGAATACGAGTCATAAACAATGGTAAACGGTAATAAAAAAGAAAATATTGGAGGCGTGTCCAATTTCGAGAGAAAGGTGTCAGCACCGACGCAATCCACAGAGTCAAGTAAGCCAGTTTATTAACCGAACGTTTCCGTTCCCCCAAGTTCTCATCATGGGTATTGTACAGAGAAAAATAGAAAAATGTCAAAATGTCAAATACAGCAACTTATACAATGTAGAGCTACAGCAAAAGCATAGATTGAGAACCTCACGCTATACAATTATACATGTACATGTACGTGTGGAAAAAATAAAATTCAGAAGCGTTATAATTATATTCGCAAGTTGTCCCCTGAACTACATGTACAATGTATGTGTTCAGAAGAAAATTGTTTTGTCACTTCAGTTGTTTTGGCGCTAATCCTCGTGAAAGTGTCAGGAATGCTTCTTCTAGCTATGAAAAGTATGAATGCCGCAGACATCGCCACGCACCATGACAATTTGTTCAAGGTTTTAGATTGTGTGTTTCCAGAATCGATTTTCAAGCTCCGATCATCAGTGGAAATACGGAACTAAAGTGATCAAGGGAAAAACAAAGGTTAAAAATCCAAAGAAGTGTGATACATGACGCGTAAGTATTACAAAAAGTGAGGGCTAAGATAAAGAGTAAGTGTGACAAATGGGCATGACCAGTGCAGAAACAACTCATGAACACGGGGTGCAAACTCACGAAAATAACCAGATAACCTAAGTGCTACAACATGTTCTCGCACCACATGGCCAAACCACAGCAGCCTGCGTCGCCGGCATGTGGCACTAACTGGAGATTGTTTTGTTTCTGTGTATAAGTTGTTATTGGTGATGCGTTGCGGGTAGACAATCTGCAGCAGTACGCGTAGCTTCCTCCGTTGCCATTTCAATGATCCCGTTTGTCGTTCAGCAATTTGGACAGAGTCCACAATCCACAATTGTATAGAAGGATCGGCATTATGAGGCAGTTAACACATACACAGTTGGGATTGAAAGGAATGCCGTCTCCAAGAAATCGAACCAAACGCCCTGCTTGCTTTTGAGATTCTCATGTCCACGTCTTCTGCAGAGAACCCAGGAGTTTGATTGAGCTCCATTCGTTGCTGTTTCTTGTAACATCAACATATTCAGTTTTCTGTGTATTGAGCTTGAGGTTGTCTTCGTCAAATATACAATGTAGGTTCACACTCAGCAACAAGAGCCTTCACCTCATCGTCACTTCGGTTATGCAGAGTAGTATCGTCAGCGTACTGCGTTGTTGTAGCAGGCATTGGTGAGCGAATTGTGCATCTTTCCCTGATCTTGCGCATTGTGCCTTCTGCATATGTTATGAACATAATAGGGGACATCGGGTCTCCCTGGACCACTCCGATGTTAGTTGGGAATGGGGGACTCGGGGAGCCACTCAGCTTGATTCTGGCTGTCGTGTTGGAAAGTAGAGATTTTGTTGTTGTGCTGATATCTGCTTCCTCTAACCTGTCAAGTGCTGTGGTGCGAATTATAGTGTCAAAAGCACCAGAGAAATCTAGGAGGGTGACGGAATATGTCCAGTTGCAAGCAAGGCCCCCTCACACAGCTACCTTGTGTAAAATACACCATCAGCGGTTGAGCGACCTGGACGAAATCAAGCCTGGGTTTCAGAGACATAAACTGTGATGTCATCCGTGCTACGTTTAGTAATAACTGACGTCAGCACCTTTCTCACAACGTATAGCTAGCATGATCGGGCGATAACTAACTTTTCGGTTTTCCGAATGGATTGCCTGGTTTGTGTACAGGTACTACCAATCCACTGCGCATATCGTCAGGGCAATAACCTACAGTGGGTCCAATGTTATTAAAATAATAATAGGCATTTTGCCTGTTTTGATTTCCACTATAAATAAAGTATACAACAACAACAACACTCTGTATTGCATTGAAGAAAGAGGCTATTATTAAACTTTTATCTCCACGTAGATTAATGCTTCTTCTCATTGATGTTTTCATTATGTTTTACATGTAGTCATTTCTTCAACTTCACCCTGTGTTTGACTTGTTCAGCTGAATTTTGTTTTTCCACACGTATAGCGTGAGGTCTCAATCTATGCTGTAGCTGTAGCTCTATAAGTTGCTGTATTTGACATTGTTCCATTATTCCCGCTGTATTTACGCATGCATGATGACAAGGGAACGAAAACGTTCGTAACTAAAGCCCGGTCTTTATTACTACAGTCAAATCTGTCGTAAGCGACCGCCCCTTGGTGCAAGAAAAAGCGGTCGCTTACGGCAGATGGTCTCTTACGGCAGATGTATGGTAAATCCGGCATACCAGGTATATGCTTCCATGTAC